GGTAATTATCATACTGAGATCTTATAAATACAGACAGAAAATCAAATTGTTAGTTGAGTTATGGCTAATATTACAATCCTGTTAAATACAATATTAGTACTATTTATACTATCGTCGTCATTTCACTTGACAGTTGACACAATTACAGTCATCTTGACATTTGACATTTACATGCTCGGACTTAACACATGCTAGTTTATAACAATGTAACAGCTGATTGTCAGCTGTAATTTGTCGTCGTTACTATCGTCAAACACCGTAAAACGTCATTACTAGCTTGCAGACTTTATTGCAGTGCAATAGAATAAGTGTGTCGCAAGGTAAGGTACTTAAGTTTTTTTGCTATTCGAGTTGTAAACAGAAGCGACGACTGTTACACTTAAAATTCTTACAGGCTCCACCCCAAGGTTTGTAGGGGTTTCCATTAGATACATTTCACTTTGAATAACTTGGTTACCAATATGAGTTGAATAAACGTGCGATACATCACTCTGTTTGTGTTTTATTCATTATAAATGGTTTATTTTTTAAATGATTTCATAAAGATTCAAACAAATTATCACAATCTTAATAGCTTTAGGGGTTTGCTATTGAAGTCACTTTTCTGACATGGCGTAACCTTGTACCATACCATCCTCCGAGAGCGCTGTTTTTGTGAATGATTAGAAAAACTTAGTAAATATAATATACTACGCACTATTCATATTTTAATATACATAATCTATGCATACATAAATATATTTTTTATTATCTGTCCACATTCCGAAATTTAATTAAACATACTTATTGTACACACCTGCCGAAATATGAATATTCACTTAATTTTATAACATTAAACCATTGACTATTTAAACCTTAAGCCATATAATATTAAATGCTACACGTAACCTTTTACTATTAATACAACTAGACATTCCATCCCCATGTTAAATTTGTAGCCAGTTTTTTTTCTACCAAAATCGTCGTAGTTGATGTGAGCCACAGAGATTGTGCTGATCTAAATTACTGATTTCTGTCGAATACACAATGGTTTTTACCAAGTCAAACTAATGGAACTACTAATTATGAGCTATAGCAACTGTTATGAACCACCAAAAAAGGTAGAAAATAGAGTTTTAGTCACTAGAGCATTCCGTGACTGGCTCACACAACTACGTTCTTTTTAACAAAAAATTGGCTACAGCTGGTCGATAAAGATGGGATCTTTATATCCAATAGTCAATGATGTAACTTAAACTCAAACTGCATCGATCATCAGCTGTCAACAAAAATAAACCAAATGTTTTGTTTATTACGATCATATTTGTTTTGTATTGAAGAAAATAACCTTGTCATCTTAACAACTCTTATCATGTTCACGAAAATTAAAATTATTAATCAGTGTTTTGAGTAAAGTTTGCTCCTTTTTAATTGTTTACGTTTACACAATATATAACACTACGTATAGACATACTTTAAGGTAAGCTTTTATTTTTATTTTACTATTCCAACGGGGTTTTCCGTGCTCATCTAGAATCATCCAACGATTTAAACCTTTACACCCTAAACTAAATGACTTGATTTTACTTTTCCAAAACCCAACAGTCACTAACAATGTTCCAAGGGTCCAATTAAAATCCCCAAAGTATACTTGTACTTCTATACTTGCATTTTCCAAGGCTTTTTAACACTAACTACAAAGACCAAAATATAGTTTGAATAAACTTGCTCAAGTGAAACCACTGGAGTCTTTCGAAAGTCCGATGCGCAAATAACCAAAACCCACCACTTGAATAGAAAACCCTCAAGTACACCACATACTTCTGTGAGTACTTACTGGACACGAGTCACCCGAAGATTCACCCTGGCCGAGTGATAAGTTGACTTCCGTCCCATTGTTTTCCTTGTACAATGGACAAGTCGGGCATCACTGGACATCTTGATTAGTCTTTGTGAGGCCGTCACGAGTGAATGGCGACGAACATTATCGATTAGTGATCCACGATACGGTCACTCGCTATCTCGCATCGAGTGTTACTTAAACTATCGGATCGTGTTGAAACTGACCGTTATGTCTGTTTAGTGTACAGTAACCGACATTGTGGTAAAGAGTTTAGACATCGCGCTTCGGTTTGTGGGAGATGACCGTGACGTTTGTCGATTCAACAACGCACACCTTCCGAAGACTTAGTCGGATCAGTGAAATCTGTTTTAGATATACAACCAATACTTAGACGTTGTCATAAACCAATAAGTAGAGTACATAATATCTCTTAACCCTCAAAATTCATTTTGAAATTTTAATCGACATTCTCATTACTAACGGTTCGAAACTATTCATAATTATTAGTAATAGTCTGGTTGCAGGTCAGAAACGTTTTCTGAAAAAATGGTGCACTCAGCCTAAAGCTATTTCCTTTCTCACATCTTAACAAAAAATGTACTGTGTGTCCTAGCAACTTTTAACTTAATCACTGCTATTCCTTACAACGGTAACTTCACCCGGAAAATATACTCTAATATTTAAATTACGGGTATATAAAGGACGATGGGTTTTATTGTTCAGTCAAATGCAACGTAAACAGTTCAAAGTACTTAGTCAACGTCGAAGACGAGTTGAGGAAGAATCATTAAAGTTGAATGATTCTGGAAATAAAACTCAAGATTTAAAAAAATCCGATTTCCTTTAGGATTTCACTAATTAACCATTTTACCTTGTCGGTAATTACGCTAGGACAAAAACAACGAAAACCCCAACGACGCACAAGAAACTGGCGACCAAATCCGATCACTGTAATTACACCAAGGTCAGGATCACAGACCAGCGGCAAGGTGACTCCTGCAGACTTAACCTGGTTCAGAGTAATTATTAATAATGCATCACTAGCGAGAAACCCGTGCAGCGTCAGACATTTTTCTGGACCGATTTACACCTGGAATGCGGAATGTCGCAGTTCGACAAAACGGTCGCTTATATAACGATGTGTCCGATTATCGGCAGCAGGTTCTAAAAACAGATTCGTTTTTTTGTTAAGGAACAAAGAATGTCCAGGAGGTATTGTGGGTTCTGATTAACGAAATTGAGTGTTTTCTGTGAAGGAAATTTAAATTTGAAGATGACATCATTTGCTGGTACTTAGTAATTTTTGTTATACTCTTGTTAAACTTAAGTGACATAGTAGTTTAACTAACTAGTTTTGACGAGTAACATGCAACCACAAAAAGTCCGCGTATATGAATGATTTAAAAGTGATTTTAAACTATTTTGCATGTTTTATTTATTCTGATCACTTTTTGCGCAGTAAAGTTGTGATACTTCTCATAATATTACTAAACCCAGAAATGTAAAGATTGCGTTGCTGGAGGTGGAGCAGTGTTTACCGCACGGCTGGTGGTAGTAAGTAGACCATGAACTTGTAAGATCTTGCTTTCATCTGGTTACCGATTAACCATACGCGTGAGTCATGCGTGGCGGAGGGAACCTAAATACCTGTTAAGTAGCGTGAAACTTACAAACGTTAGAACCAAAAGAGAAAAATTTTAGTTTTATCAGTATAAATGTGCACATTATACTCGTACCCCCATAGGGCAGTTAAAAAAGAAAGGCACAATTTCAAGAAGCCATATCCAAGGTGGAACGTTGTTGCAATTCATGGTAAAATATCCAAAGTAAAAGTCTATAGATGGCGAAAGCGTAATTTCTGAAGTAGATTAGTTCAAAATACTTAACAATCTCAAATAATCTAACTGATGAATACAATTATTTGACCATACATTGCCAGGAATGATTTCAGCTATTCAGTAATTACATGCCTATTCATTCAGAGCTCTGTGGTTGGGGGTCAAGTAGTGTATATTCTCTGGATGCTTGCATATTCATCTTCATCAAAAGTGCAACACCATAAATCCACCGTTTAACCTTGCAGATATAAAGTTTCTCCCATTTTTCATACCGCCACTCCTACCGGATCTCCCCGTAGAAAGCACGTACCTCTGGTAAACATCAACAGAGACTGTGACAGGTGGACCGGCTTTGTGACTCACGGCTGCTTTCTTTGTCTGAGATCATCAGCTGATTGCAGATATCAGCTGATTCCACTCTGTAACTCTGCCAGCTGTCCGCGAACACTTTCGCTCACAAATTCCTCGCGGTCAATCGTTCGGGTCCGCAGGACGGTAACACCCGGGAGAAATCCTGCAGGATTTGCCTATGCAGTTCCGGCTTAATCGGTCTGGTTTTCAGCTTACTTTCAAGACGAACACGAATTTTATCGCTTTCCATTTTCGTGGATGGTCTAATCCGGCGATAAAATAGTTGAAAAGCCTAACCAGCAAGAGCCGTAAAATACTTTCACGCCAAAAGTGGCTGTGTTAATCGTGTTAGATTTTAATGTTAATGGCTTCATTAGGTTTAGAAATTCTAACTTTTTAATTCTAAGAACCGACAACTTGTTGGGTGTGTTGATTTAAATTAAAACTCGGCAAAAGAAACAAGCCTGGGTAAAGTTGCTTCCTCTTATCCTTTATGAGATATACCCGAAACAATACTTATTGACACCAGAATCGAAATAATTTTGATGATTTATTTTAATATACTGTGGTCCCTGCCTCAGTATAGTTAAATTTGAAAATACTGTTGGTAGTTTTATTGTTCGATGGTTGACAATGTTTGTTTTGACCCCGCGACAGCCTTGTCCACACCGTAACCAATTGTCACCGTTGTTCGCCCGCATTGCTGCTGGGTCGTTGGTTGCTGGTAGTTCGTGTTGTAATTGACTTTATACTGTGTTACTTTATGCATTCGAGTAATGGTTTGAAAAAATCAGATTGTTTTCTATAACTGTGGTTTGAATACTGTAGTTTCTAACGCCGTTACAAGAATTCAACCACTTTCTCTATCATGATTGTATAGTTTTAAGAAGAACACTGAGGTACATTTCTTAATTATACAGATTTGTAATCTAATGTGAAAAATTTCCTATATTTCTGTGTACCATACTGATAGATTTATGTTGTTACAGGCGTTGACCCGGTGTCCCGGTGGCGTGTCCTCGCTGACCGCCAGACTGCCGTCACTACAGTGGTCCTGGCCAGAGTGCCTCACCATGCCCGCTGCCAGGGGCCGCAAGGGCTGGTGTGGCTGCCTCCAGGTAAGCTAATGCCATCCACAATAGTATATTTTGCAACAAAGCCTAGAACTTTTGAGGGAACCGTCAAGGTATTCTTCTGTTCTCTCGCCTCGTTGCGAAACACGTATAGACTCTTTGGTCTCAAACTCTTTTAATATCAAAACCCCCCTCGTATCGTCACAGTTTTTATTGAAAAGACCATGTAGGTTTACCAAAGGATTATGGTGTAATGTCAACATGAAAAAGTTGAATACCATAAAAGAAAATAGTCATTTAGTAAACAATATGAACTAAGAAGAAATTAAACGGTACTTTGTGCGAACGCCCAGCGAGAGTGAACGTAATGTGTGTGGTGTGTGGTTATGAAGATGAGCTCAGCCCCCGCCGCCCGCACAGAGAAAGGGCGGTCAAGGCCCTCACGCCGCCCAAAGGTCTCCCAATGACCGCTCAAGCATGTGCTGCATGTACCTCGTCTCCATATCGATAGGGAACACCCGTGTAGTCCTATTCCGCCCGAGTTTTATTTCGCCCGTAGCCTAATTAGTCCTAGTTCGCCCACGGTCCCAGATTAACCCTTATAATCATCAGCTCTACCTGCGTCAGGAGTCCTATTCCATCCACGGAGGACCCCACCCACCCCAACTATGTAAAAGCCCTCCCCTACCCATCACCCGGTTATCCACCTTCGACTACACGGTTATTTAAGCTTAAAATATTTTGTTTGACAAATCAAGCTAATTTCCTTAATAGTATCAATGTAAAGTTTAAACACAAAGATATCTGTAAAATATTTATAAAATTTACTGTCCATGTACTGTTAGTTACTGTATGTTTGTCTCCCTATCCAAAATGTGCAAATAAGCTATTTAATTATTTAAAATATTGCGCTTAACGTCAAACAGAAACATATGACAACACTGCAATCCAAGACATGGCCTAAAAAAGGCCACTAGTTATCTAGTGGTAAATACCCAACTGCACACCTTTGAGTTTTCTTTATTATACAATGTAAATAATTCGCCTATTGGGTTTGATGATGATTGGAGTGTCGAATCGAACTCGATCACCATTTGCCTTCTTTTATGTATATTTATTGTCTGATGAGATAACAGTATGAAAGCACAAATATATGTTTTAAGTGTTTTTAGACGTATTTTTTTTACTTTTCGTATACAATGTAAAATACTGTAGTAGTTTACGCAAGGAATACGTTAAGATAGTGTCGTTTACTCTATTTACTCGAGTTGCATACACTACTTTACCTACGACAATATTTTAATTACTTATATCACTATTCATAACTCCTAAGAGAGGTTATGTTTTCGTTTAAGCTATAACATCTCATTGCCACTGACAGTGATGCAACGTACTATTGTACCAATGTTGTTTTGTAAATAAACAATGATGTTAAGAGAATCTTTCCAATTCTAAGAATTGCACTGAAATGGCTAGCTTAAAAACAGTCGTAGGTATTAGTTTATAGTATCGTAGTAATTGTTTTAATTTTATAACAAGGAGGAGAAAGTAAGTCATTACATATTTGAGATTTGAGACCATTTTTGAAGTTTGGGATTTATCGAGCACTTTAAATGGTCGAGATTATGCATAGTAAACCTTCACTAGTGTTTTGAACGTTACTCTTCGCTACACCACAAACAATAATTATTTTCTTCATTACAACACCAGTTTGTTGGTTATGCCTTGAATAAAAAGTTAATACTTACTTTCTAGGACTAAGGGACTAAGGACTAAAAATCCGTAGTCATAACTTCTAAGGTGGGTGGGGTCCTCCGTGGATGGAATAGGACTCCTGACGCAGGTAGAGCTGATGATTATAAGGGTTAATCTGGGACCGTGGGCGAACTAGGACTAATTAGGTTACGGGCGAAATAAAACTCGGGCGGAATAGGACATAACCGGGAACACCATAACATCACTGATACTAAGCAAAGTCTAGAAGCTATCCACCTCATGAAGTCCCGAACAACTAAAAAATATTTAGTACTGTATTGTCAGAAAATTGTGTGTGTCTTCTGAGTTAGGAATTGTTTCAAAAGATGTAAATTTTATCAGAATGCCTCTGATTAAATGCTGGGGAAAATTTGGTTGATTTTTGATGGCTTGAATCTGGACCCGGTTGCCTTTAATCAGCTGCCTGATAAAATTATCCTGATTAATGCAACGTCTGCTTTAAATAGCTACAAAACTCCACAATGCATCCCACTTCTACACCCATCCTTCACTCATATTTAGTTCAGGTCAAAATGCACAAAATTGTGCTCCTGACCCAATGGAATAACAACTTGTGATGTCATAGCTATGTTCTTACAGTACATAATATTCTAAAATTTGCTTTGTAAGGCAAAAAATAGTAAAGTCCTTTTACAATAAAACAAAACGATAGGATAATGAATAGTCTCACGAATTTTAGAACATAAAGTATTTCGGGCCAATAACATCATTTGTTTATGTTTATGATCCAAATCCTAGCTGTTATGGTGTCCGTGGTTTAACTTAAGTTTTACCTTTGACTATTAATACAACAACTAGACATTCCATCCCCATGTTAAAGTTGTAGCCAGGTTTTTAATAAAATTTGAAATGTCATTGGTTGTACATAATATCCTTTCGATTCGTTCCAATCATCTGCGTGTTAGATCAAAATTAACAAAAATTTTCTGTAAAAACTAGGCCCTACTGTATAAATAAATTATGCAAACATTGTGATGTTTTTTTGCCGTTTCATGGAAGTCATCCAATATAATAAGCACCATCGTTAACATGTTACCTATGAAAGCCGGGGGCAAGACAAACAGAACCCCAGGTAATTGATTTTTTCTATAATATTAAATACATTTTTCTCTATAAGCGTCTGTGGTAAGCGTTCAGAATTACCTACATGAGAAATAATACCATAGTAAGTAAAATGTTGATTGCACCAACTTAAATATTTAGATTTAAAGAGTTTACAGTAAACTTGTTCGATCGACAGCAGAATGGAGTCGTGTGTTACGAAAGATATCGACGCCGATTTCCATGTTCGGAGTTTACACAGCCGTAGTTTGCTTTTAATTAGCGTTTAACCTAATGAGACGCGTCTAGCTTACCTTCAGTTTGTTAAGTTTTTATCACACACTTCCAGGAAACGTGTATCGCAATTTCCTCACGGCAAATTACTAGTGTAAGCTTGGGTTTCTTATGGCTTACACAATGGTTAGTATGAATGGTTAAATACTCGTGTACAATAATCATTGTAGATTTTTGCCACTGTATATACGAGTTAGGGACTTCTCACTTATCCAGTGCTTAATTAAATCACTATAATGTATAGTTTTTTGTATAAATGGTATGTTCCAACAATATCGTAGCACTATGTTCTGCCATTCGTTGCATTACTTTGAAGAATACAAGTACCGCGTTCAACAAGTATTTTTGAGAAATATCCCGAGGTCTAATAGTAGTGGTTTGCGACAGTACACCGCCCTTACCACTAGAATGGTACATGATTATGTACCGGTGTCTCTGCTAGACGATATTACCACATTCGGAGAAATAACTACATAGCGCGAATATTAGAAACTACATAGCACGAATATTAGACACTACATAGCACGGATATTAGAAACTACATAGCACGGATACTAGAGCAGAACGATATGGATCATAAACATAAGCAAATAATCTCACTGGCCCGAAAGTAAACATTTAAACGGCCAAAATAAGTCCAAACCAGGTGTTAGGTTATTAGTATAGAAAAGCCAGTGATGTTTGCTTATATGTATGATCCATTCCGATTCTGTTCAAAATATTCGTGCTACATAGTGTACTTTAATTCAAGATCGTAAACATTGCGTCTTTGTAATATTTACGGAAACAATTGTAGTTTTTCGTGATATACCTAGATATATAAATAAAAAAAGACAATTAGCTTTTCAACGATTCAAAACTCAAAATTCTATTGCTGTTCTTCTGATCATCGGGTTTTTAATAAATGCTCCTGACCAATAAACGTTGTCCGGGCGGTCACAAAGCGCGGGAGATCGCTGGTGGTTGCGACATTGGCGGGAATGTGATCGTGAACGTGTCAGCTGAGTTAGATAGTATACTGTGGAGAATGTATATAACCCGGTGACATTGTACAGGTGCAGGCTAATGATTATTGTTTCCCACGGTTGAAATCGTTTAAGTGCAGACCACGACTTTAATAGGCAATATAACCGGTCTGATTGGAGTTTATTGGTTCCGGGGAAACGGGAGTGATTGATTTCGATTGTGGTTGATGGTGATATATGCGTGTGAGATGATGAAACGAAGTATAACTTTGTTACAGAATAGAATAACTAAGTTGGAAACATCGAAATGTTTCGAGTTTATTGGACAGCTTAGTGAGTTCTGTTGAATTAATGGCTCATTTTAAAGATCATCGAGAATGTTTGGAATATGTTTTTTGCATTTAAAAAGCACAAATGTCACATTTGATGTTTGGCTTGGAATTTGCTATGTCTGACAACAACTATCGCTGATCGCGATATTTGGTAGCTGATAACTATAACTTATTGAACCTTCCCTTGTTTCCATATTTTCTTTTGATGTATCCTTTCTTTCGTCTGTGTACTCCTTGCCCTTTTTCAATCTGAGATATTTCGTTGAGATCAGTGTTTTAGTTGGAAGATAATAAAAAATGCAATGGAATATTATTTTTCGTTTAAAGAACATTATTGTTATCTTCGGCGGGCAAGAATGTACTACGTCTTAAACTTATTCTTGTTGATAATAATGTTCGTTATCTTGAAACCAAAACCAACAAACCAATGTCAACTGACAGGTTCTCCATTGTAAAGAGAAAATTGAAACTTTTCGTAGATTCCTCACGACTTTCCCTGAGACACCAGTAGGCCAATTCAACGTTTGATTGTCAACATAATCGTCGTAGAGCTAAAGCGTTATGTAGCTCTGAGCTTCATACCCTCTTGTTCGGATGTGGTTCGGATGTATCGGTGATATCAGTTTTTGCCGAGGTG